GGTGCCACGGGCCTGCGCTGGTGCCCCCCTGGCTGGCCGGCCCCGAGCGCGGCTGCGGAGCAAGCCCAGTGCCCGAGGGGGGCTGGCGTGGCCCCCGTGCTGGGCTTGCTCCGTGGGGTTTGGGCTCCTCGTGCCCCAGCCCGTGTCTCTTGCAGCAGGGGCCGCCGTGAGGCGAGGCACGGGTCTCAGCTCCAGCGCGCCCCTGTCCTCAGTGGCGGCGCACTTCTCTTTGCCCCGCAAGCGCAGGCTGCCGGCTCGGAGCCTGGAGCTTTGCCATGGGGACTGCGTGGCTTTCTCCGCACCCTGGGTCAGTGGCCAGCGCCCCCAGCCCAACACTAGCCCCCGTCCTGAGCACACATGGGGCTAGGGCGGCCATCATAGGGGACATTCCAGTTTTCTGCTACTCCGTCCTCTATTGATACAAACCAGATGCCTTTATGTCCTCTATTTTTCTCTTCACGAAAAAAATAGAGGACATAAAGGCATCTGGTTTCGTATCAATAGAGGACAGAGAACAACCGGACTGTCCTCTGTGATGGCCAACCTACATGGGGGTGAGGAAGCACAGCAGTGCTGGTCTGTGCCACAGGGCCACTTGCCTCCCCTTCCTCACTCCGTTTCTGCCACTCCTGAGCTGGGGAAGAAAGAGCCGGGAAGGCTGAAACCCAGCTGAACCTGCAGAAGATGGCAAGCCAGTTCCTTGCCCTCTCCTCCCCCCAGACTCTAGCTTAGGGCAGGGAGCTCTTTAAAATAGCAGTCATTGGCTTGTTTCCTTTCGCAGTCCAGAGAATGGGTGCTGGGTGATGTGCGCCAAGGGATTCAGTCTAAACGGCCTACTCACCTCTTGGCTTGGCTGCTAAAGCTGAACCGTGCCAGTGGGAGTTGGGATGGGGACGGGAACCTCTGTCATGCCAGAAACTAGCCCGAGACCTTCTTCCTTCATTGAACATGGGTCACTAAAGCAGTATTGCATGGATTCGGACCTGCAACTTAAAGACTAAATGCTCCACGGAAGCAGCAGCCTGTGCCCTTTTTAGCTCATTTGTAAAATGAGAGTGATTTACAGACAGGGACAGAGGTATGGAAGGAGGGGAGAGCAGGGAATCCAGTACCATTTCAGAGGGAGATGCTACCCCCCACCGAGCTGGTGGCAGGGGTGACCTCAGAACAGCACTCGGGTTTAGTGCTGAGGCCTGCGCAAGTGCAGGTGACCCAAAGAATAGAAGACGACGCAGGCAAAGATCATATCTTCAGGCAGGCACAGGCCTGCTCTGACCACTTCAGCCCACAGGGTCATGTCAGGCGCTGCCAAAATTAGCTTGGAACAATCCAGCTGAAGCACCACACAAATTCTCACCGTGCTGAAGTCCCATTTTTTTATGCCAGGCATGACAAACAGGCCCAGGGTAAGGATGCCTAATGGTTCACGGTCCTAGTACTAAGAGGGCTTCAGCCCAGTGCCGCTTGCCCCTGCAGGAGACCCTGCGGAGCTGCTGGGTACCAGCTTCTGCCTCTGCATAAAGCCATGTGGATCAGAGCCCAGGGAGAGATAAGGAACTAGAACCATAATCAAGACGAATCACAACTAAACATTTTATTTTTTTAATGACAAACAATATCCAAACACCCCCTGGCCCCCTCAGGGGGGACAGGAGGCTGCCCCTTCCCCAACAGTCCCAACACCCCCACACATTTGCTTAAAGCACTAGAGCAGGGGTGCTCAACCCCTGGCCCAATCCAGCCTGCACAACCATGACATCTCCCTGTGGATTGGGAAACTTAGTAGCGGGGGCGTGATAGCAATCAATCCCACCATCCTTCTCCTACTGCCAAATTACCAAGCCCTGTGTGGTCAAATCAGGCCTGAGAAGGCCTGACTCCCTCCATATGTGGCTGGATCAGGGCCAGGCCATGCTGCACCCCTCCTGCCTATATCCTTTGTGGCCGGATTGGGGCCAAGCTGTTACTGCGTGGCTGGATTGGGCCTTGGCTGCATCACCCCCTCCCCCACACGGTCAGCTTAGAGCCAGGCTGCAGCCAGATCAGGGCCTGGCCCCCTACCCTCACCTGGCTGGAGCGGGCCCAAGCTCCACCTGCCCTTCACTGGGCCCCTGCAGCACTGGCTCTGGTTCACCAGCTGGATACAGTCCGTGGATGGTCTGGTCCAGGTTCCAACCAGCCCACAGGGGAAAAAGGGTGGGCACTGCTGCACTGGAGCCTGGGAACTTATTGAGGCTGAGTCCATGACAAATGATGTGCAGCCGCACAGGAGCCCTGGTGAAACTGCAAAGCTGAAGCACAACACAATTGCAATACCACCAGCAGCCATGGGGTGACAACATAGGACACCTTTCTGAGGTGCCCCTTGATCTGAAAAGGGTGCTCCTTTAGTAGAAAAAGGTGAACAAGTCCTCTCATCACTGCCCTTCTTACTGAGCTGCAGCCCCCTACACCCACCTGCTGTCCTAGTGCTGGGCTCTGCCAATGCCCCTCATTCCTGATCCAGAGCTGCTCCCATCATTCCAGTCCTAGGCCTCTCTGGGACAAAGCCTGCCTTTCACCCCCAAATGAAGACAGAGCTGGTTTGAGATGCAGAAGATCAATTTCCACTTGGCTTTGGGGTTGGCACTTTATTGTGCCTGTGATCCCAGCAGGACCTGAGCATATGGCAAGAGGGAACATGAGCAAAAGAGAAGTGTGGCTGGTGGTTTAGAACAGGCCAGAGAGGCTGTGCTGAGGCTGCAGAAGTGCCTGCTGGGAAGTCTGGCTTCTTTCCTGACATGTTTCCCTTGCATGTGCCTTTCCAAGAAGGGGGAAGGAAGGAGCAGGCGCTCCTAAGCATCCCAGGCTGTTGCGCCATCCAGGACTTGCCCCAAACAATAACAGCCGCTCCCAGCCAGTGGGCTGGGAATTTCCTCAACCAAGGTGGGGTCAGGGGCACTGAAGCTGGCATACACACTCCCATTCCCTTAGTTGCTTGGCCTGCTGACTTCTGAAGGCTTCGCTCATTGCCTACACAGCCCTCTTGAAGTGGGGGTTGAGGGAACATATGGCATCCACCATCAGGGGAAGTGATAGACTGTCATCCTCCCAATTAATACCCCTTGGCTCTGCTCCAGCCACTTCTACTGGAGGCTCATCTCTATACAGACATCCAAGCACCAAGTGTCTTGTGCATTCCCGTGAAGGTGGGTCACAGGGTCTCTGCATCCTCTTTTCAGAGGGGGAAAACCAAGGCATAGCAGGGGGAGCGTGGCTGCAGGGATGCAGCAAGCCAGCAGCAGCGCTGGGGAGGAAACCCAGACCCCACCACAGCTCCTCCTCTCTACCGGTGTCCAGCAGCAGCCATGGGTGGGGGCGATGATAGGCAGAATGGACTTGTCTACAGGGGAAAGAGCCCTGCTCCTCAGCAGGCTGGGGTCCCTCGGAGCTATGCTGGGCTTATGCAAGTGTGGTGGGGGGAAAATCCCCTGGACCCATGTGGGGCCTTGTGCCTCTCCCCAGCAACTCATAATGTGCAGGGCTGGGGGCTCCCATTCTTCATCTCTGGTGTGCCAGGAGGAGGTGGAAGAGCTGAAGGAAGACTCCCCCTTCCTGCCCACTCCAGCTACTTCACAGCTGGGAGCTAGGCAGGTGAAGAAAATCTGCCCCTCAGGGCCCCTACAGCTCTGGTGAGTGCATAGCCCCCCACAATGCTGAGAAGGGATGTGGAAATTGCGTAGAGCCCTGAGCAAGATGAAGAATTTATTCAACAGGAAGGGAGTTGCAGAGAGCCTCTTTGGGAAAGAGGGATGGTCCTTGCCCTGCAATTGCTCCAATATTACTTGGGGGCATGGGGCAGAAGCAATTCCACCTGCTGGCTGCTCTCCAGTACAGTGTGGAGACTGATGTCCCCTTCCAATTGCCCCCAACTGAGGGGGGAGGATGTGCGGGAATGCCAGACCCTTCTCTCTGCAGCACAGGTACCATCTCACAAACCAGAGGTTCCAAAGCACCATTCAAGGAGCCAATGTAGTGTTCATGGTGCTACCTTCCTCCAGCTGCTCCCTGCTTGGAGTGCAAGTCAGAGACCACAGGCACTCTGCTACAAAGGGAAGGATGGCCCAAGCTGTGTCTCCATGCACATCAGCTCAGTGTGCTGCATACAGGTGTCCATGAAGGAGTAGGGAGCAGCAGCAGGGAGGCGGGGGAGGCAGCCCCCGAAGTCAGTTTGATCCCTCATTCAGAGCACACGACAGGCTTCCCCGAGATCTTCAGGTCATCGAAAGGCAGGAGGGCCAAGAGCTGCGAAAGAAATGGGTATAGAGAGAGGAGGGTTAATGCTGAGGAGCTAGGTTAAAAGCTCATTGAGTGTGCCCAGAACAGGTGTCATCGCTGCCCCCCACAGGGACTGGCTGCACTGCAGGGCAGCAATGCAGGAGGCCAGCCCACCCAGGCCAGGGTGCAGCAAACGATAGGCGAGTGCTGACAGGAGCACTTGGCCCATTACTGAACTCCTCCTAAGAAGGGCAGAGCAAACCAAGGCAACAGCAAACTCCTTCACAGCCAGCCCTCCTTTTCCTCTCCAGCCAGGAAGAGCTGCCACTGGAGTAGTTGGGAGCTCCTCACAACAAATGTTCCTGCCCTTACAGTGCCTCCTGTGCAGAGAGGTGTGCCATCTCCTGTACCCTATCTCTAGGGCCAGGGCCAGCTCCCTGAGGCCCCACCACAGGCTGCCCTGCAGAGGAGGACACAGGCAGACTCACATCATCGTTGCCGTCAGCCAGGTCCTGGGCGGTCTCATCCTCCATGTTCCTCAGCAGGGTGTCAGCACCCGAGTGGGACAGGATGGCAGCAACAGCGGCATCTTTCCGGCCCACAGCCAGGTGCAGGGGCGTGCAGCCATTGTACATCTGGGCATCCACATAGGCCCCCTTGCGCAGGAGAAACTGGACTGCCTCGCGGTTGTGGCACTCCACTGCCAGGTGTAGGGGTGTCTTTCCACTTGTGCCCTCCTGGAGCCAGCAATGCACAGGGGCTGTTAGACTGGGCCCTGTCATCTCTCTCACTGGCAGCCCCCAAAACAGAATGACCATTCACAATGGCAACCACTGCACCACCTTCACAGAAACCCCACAGGGCACAAAACTGCTAAGATGGGCACCTTCCCCATGCAGCCCGCCCCCCAGCCAAAGGACTGCCCTGGGCCTTGCATGGCATACGGCAGTTCCTCTCTGCCCAAGAGAAAAGCCACACCCACCCAGAAGCCCTGATGCCAAAGTCCCATGCCCCATCAGCCTTGCCACTGCCTGATACAGGAGCAAGCTTGTCACTAGCCAGCCTCTGTGCCTGCATAGGTTATTCCCATGATGCCAGCCTGGGGGAGGGGCACAGAGTGGCTCAGGCAGTAGTGCCAGCTGCCTCACCTGCCACATCTTGCATTACCTGGACATTAATGTCTGCTCCACTCCGCA